AAGGATCGCTGGAGCCCAGCAGGTCGAGGCTGTGGTGGCCGGGAATGGCCACTGCACTCCAGTCTGGGCGACAGAGTAAGACTCCAACTCAAAAAAAAATTTAAAATAAATTAAAAAAAAAAAAAAAAAGGAAAGGTAATTTTGTCTAGTTTACAAGTTAAAGCTTGTTTCAAAATAAAAAAATGACACAGGTAAACAAACCTAAATGCATATAAAAAAGGACAAACGAGTAGAGAACGAGAACCCTTTGATTCCTGTGTGGCCATGTGCATGGTATGGAGCTGTGCCGTGCTCAGTTACTAAATGTAAACATGACCCATGGAATTTAGAGATGGATCCTGGGGAGTTAGTTCACTGGCTGCATAAGGAAATATAAACTATTAATAATGAGCAAAAGCCGGGCTCAGTGGCTCAGCCTGTAATCCTGCGCTTTGGGAGGCTGAGGTGAGTGGATTGCCTGAGCCCGTGGGTTCGAGACCCGCCTGGGCAACTTGGCGAGACCTCATCTCTACAATAAATCAAAAAATTAGCCGGGCGTGGTGGTGCGCACCTGTAGTTCCGGCTACTTGGAAGGCTGAGGCGGAAGGAAGGATCACCGGAGCCCAGCAGGTCGAGGCTGCGGTGGCCAGAGCGTGCCACTGCACTCCAGTCTGGGTGACAGAGTGAGACTCCAACTCAAATAATAATAATAATAATAATAATAATAAGCAAAATACAAAAGAGTCTCACTGTTATCTGTAAATAGCTAAAATGAAATTGAAAGAATGCTAGGTATGACCCTGATACTACTCCAAGCTTATATTTCCCTGGTCTAAGCTTCAGCTACCAGCCTCAAAGCCACTGCTCAAGGGCAAAATTATGCAGAGACAATAGAAAACACCTCTGAGACCTGTGGTTACCAAGAAGGCAGTGAGTGTGGGTGAGAACCAAATCTGACCTTTTATTCTCTTACCTACATTCCTAAGAGTCTGGGGAAGTCACCACCTGATGAGGACTCATGAAATGGGGTTTTATCACCCTATATACTAAAGTTTGCTCTCCAACCTGACTGACTCTGGCATAACATCACATCATAAGGAAGGAAATCAAAGTATGGTCTTGCAAAGTCATCTCTTGGGGACTCCCAAACTTTAGGAACCTTGTAAGACACTTCTATCTTCTTTGAAGTCTGCCCACATATAGGACTTCATCTACATATCAACAAACCTGGAGTTTTTCACCCTCTCATCTCAACAAAACACCTCCTGCACTGATTTTCAACATTTCTTAGATAGGAATTACTAATTACCAGTCAAGAAATCTGAATCCACCTGTGACCTGCAAGGAAGGCCTTGCTTGGGATGTGCCCTTCCTCCTGGGCCAAAACAATGAAAATCTCAAATGTACTGATTTATGTGTTGTAACTTTTGCCTTCCTAAAATGTACTTAACCAAGTCACCATTCAACCATGGTGGGCACATATTCTCAGGACCTCCTGAAGATGGGTGTTCTTGGGCTTAGGTCCTCAAGTTTGGTTCAGAATAAACCATCTTAAAATATTTCAGAGTTTGGCACATTTCTATCGGTAGGGGCAAGGGTAAAACCAATGAACTATTGAAAACAGAAGGTACAGTGTGAAAAAAGGATTCCATTGTGTAGACTGATATCATCAGCTTCCTGAGGAACCTTTACTAAAATGGATTATAACAGTTAAGTAATTTAGGGGCAGTTTGGTTTTAAATGCTGCAGAATAGAAGAGCATGTTTGGGTTTGTGCAGGACCCACAGTCAATCCTGAACAATCACAGACGGGTGTATGTGACCCAGATGCAGGGTTATTCCTGAGGGAATGACCAGCCTGGTAGACCAGATAAAAGCCACTGTAAGGTCTGTTTACCCCGAGAAGGGAGAGAGACTCTCCAACTTCAACCTGTAAATGCCAAATGGAGCACACTGATATGCTTCACATGCAAGAAACGTGGGACTGGCTTTATGATGACCGGTACTTATCTGCTGAATATGCCTGTTACCCAGTTCATGCTCATGCTGTGGTTAAGGGGGCCCCTATTGCATGTGCAACTCCTGTAACCACACTAGCAAAATCAAACCACAGTCAGAGGAGTTTGAAACAATTTGCTTCCCCTTATGGGTCTTAGAGATGCTATAAAAACATTAAGGTAATTAACAAGAGAATGGGAAAAGCAGAGGGGAGAGTCCAAGGACTCAAGAATGTAAAAAAGCTTAATAGTTATCTAGAAGTAAGACAAAGAAAAACACTGATGGGGTAAAATTAAGAGGAAAAAGAAGGCTAGGCATGGTGGCTCACACCTATAATCCCAGCACTTTGGCTAAGTTTTTGATTTATTGTAGAGATGAAGTCTAACCAAGTTGTCCAAGCTGGTCTCAAACCCCTGGGCTCAGGCAATCTTCTCACCTCGGCATCCCAGAGTGCTGGGATTATAGGCATGAGCCATCACATTCAGCCAAGATTGACTTTATAGAGCAGATAAAAAGTCCCTTGTTAAGACTGGCCTGGTACCTTATCTACATGGTTCCTTTAACAAGGTTCCTGACCTGTGTTAAATAAAAAATATCACTTTCTGACAGACCTAAGAACTTCAACGCATGAGACCTCGAGACCTCAAGAAAAGAATTCACCCAATTTGTACAGATCATGTAAGCACACTCTGATGGCAATTTTTTGGCTTGCCTTTCTAGCCTCAAAGCCTATAAAAGTCTAATCTGAGATTTCTTATGAAAAACGTTCTAGCAAAGTCAACTTAAAAAAGAGCCTATACGAAGCACTTTATGCAAATAATCAGGCCAAGTATGATGAGAATAAAATTTATTTTGCAAATAAATTGGCCCTGAAGGCTGGGCAAGGTGGCTCCACCTATAATCCTAGCCCTTTGGGAGGCCGAGGTGAGAGGACTACCTGAGCCTGTGGATTTGAGATCAGCCCGGGCAACTTGGTGAGACTTCATCTCCACAATAAAATAAAAAATTAGCCAGGCATGGTGGCACATGCCTGTAGTTCCAGCTACTTAGAAGGCTGAGGCGAAAGGATCTTCTGAGCCCAGCAGGTCCAGGCTGTGGTGGCCAGGAGTGTGTCACGTGTCACTGCCCTCCAGCCTGGGTGACAGAGTAAGACTCCAACTCAAAATAAATAAATATAAATAGGCCCTTCAATGATTTATCCTTGGCAGAAATGGGGAAGCTGGCAAGAGAAAAATTATGTTTCAGAAGACAACTAATTATAGTACACCTATTAGATTTTAGTACAACGATTGTTTTTGACTTTTTATTTGCCTACAATTTGAACTGAATTATTTTCTGGTTATCACAAGTCTCTAAAGAAGTACAGGGTTTTAATTATCTTCATGATGTTTTAAGTTGGGTCCCTAATGGAAAAGTTTTTTTTTTTTTTCATCCTGGCATACAAATTTTCTCTTTATTTTAATACTTATGTACATATTCTTCCTACTCAAATTAATAATCTAAACACTGTGGACTATTGCTACAAACTGGTCCCATTTTCCCCTGCAAAACAAAGTAAACAATCAATAAATATGTGTTGATTAAATTAATGGATGAATCCAATTTGTTTCAAAATCATCTGATTCTGCCACAGAAAATTCTAGAATTAAGATCTCATATTGTTTACTTCTGAGAAAACTCAAATCACGGTATTCCAAAAACTAGAGATGATTCAAGAAAGACTTTGAATCTCCTTCATTTGAAATCCCACCCGGCCAATTTGCTTTCCATTGTCTTTGCATTGTTGGTAAAAGTATATATTAAGGAACTTCCCCCTAGGCTCAGGAGACTCTAGGTCTAAAAGAGGAGGGTATGTGAGATTATAAGATTTGGATTAGAAGGGTGGAGTGTGGAGGATATAGCGACTCCATTTTACAGGAGCCAGTCTGCCATATTGACCTCTACTTCTTATTAACCCTATTTCCAAGAATGCCTCTAAGAGTTCTACTTACACATACTTAACACAAATCCTGCCCTTAGACAAATTCCCTACGATATATAAACCCCAGGTGTAGGGTGCTGCGGTACAGGAATCCACCACTGGGGTGCTGTCTGAGACACGGCATCTGTTCTGTTAAATCCCTATTAAAATCAAAATATTAGCTGGGCATGGTAGCACGTGCCTGTAGTTCCAGCTACTTGGAAGACTGAGGCGGAAGGATCACTGGAGCCCAGCAGGTCGAGGCTGCGGTAGCCGGGAGTGGCCACTGCACTCCAGTCTGGGCAAAAAAAAAAAAAAACTTAGAGAAAGTAGACTTATGCCACCAAAAATGAGCTAATTTGTTGCTGTCCATTTCTACTTTATCTTTGTTTTTAACGATGCTACTAATAAATTTAGGCCAAAACATACATATATAGAACCCAAAATGATGGTGGGATAATATAAAGGGTACAAGCACGAAAGGATCATGGTGCTGTGAAGAGGACACAGTAAGGCCATCAGATGGCTCTCTTAAAATATTTCCTTTATAACCTGAGTAAGCTAAAAGGGGGCCCAGCTAATGATGTTACCAAACTGTATAAAGCATTGTGTAGCCTTTTTAAACTGAAGATGATTCAATGACAATATCACAAAACTGGTAGACGAAATTACCCTTAAGTCTAGCTCACTAACACAACTCTTTCAATTTTTATACTCAGCAGTCCAGTTGTCTACCTCTACACATTTTTGCATTACTTTAATCTTAATATTCGAAGCGTTTATATTTAGATTCTAGAATCAGTCTTAAATCTGCATTTAGCATTTGTATTATATCTCACTGTGTTTATGAAAAACATCCTTACTGGGTATATAGATTGTTTCCAGTTTTTCTCTCTAAAGATAAACATGCAATGAATATCTTTGCAAAGACTAAGGTTTTGAATTTCTTAGGGTAAGCTCTCAATATAATTACTCTTTATGGCTTTTGTAATATGTTGTCATGATACTTTCTAAAAGGTTGGATCATCCACTGACGTTTGACTGTATCAGTTTGATGTTTCAGTTGGTTCACCCACTGATATTTGACTGTATCAATATCACCATTGCTTCTGTTAACAGTAGATATTTTAACTTATTTTTTTAAAGATTCTGTAATTTAGAAGGTGTACATATAACTTATCTTGTTTTCTTTGATTACTAGCTAAAATACCACTTCCCTATGTACTTGTTCGGCCTTTTGAATTTTTCACATTTTTTCCTGTGATCTTGATACTTACTATTCCAGTAACATTTGAATGATTTCTTCATGTTATAGATATTAGCTTTGTTGTATTTGTTGTGAATATTTTACTCCAATCACTTTAGTTTTAGTTAAGTTTCACAGTACAAAAATTCTTTCATACATTCAAATCCATCAATATTGTGCTAATATCACTTAATCCCTCCTCCCAATTTACTATGCAGTAGGTAATCATCTTTTCCTATCACCTTTTAAAAAGCTTTGCCTGATCATATATTAGATTTTAAACATATATATGTGAGGCCTATTCCTGAGTTTACTATTTGGTTCTACAAACATTACTTTTGAATCCACTGAAGGGCAGACTCTGGAAACTGTGTGCCAGCAGACTGTTTCCTAGAATACTACAGTCATATCTCTGGAGGTTGATGATCCTTGGCATAAATGTTAGTGACGAATACTAACCATACAAAAAAATGAAAGATACACAAGCCAATATAAAGAAAACAATGATTTCATGCATTTAAGACTCTTACCAGTATTCTATGATTCTGCAAAGGTGTTGTACTGAAAAAGTCATCATGGTCATCTTTTGGCAACTGTTCCAGAAAATCCCTCATCTGTTGCTTCCTTTTAAGAGTTCCCAATTTGGCAGTTATCTTAATAGTTTGTTTCTTATCAACATCACCTCTTTTGCCTTAAGAGTCAGCAAAACATTTTGGTAAGGTTTTGGTTATGTATACCAACTGCTCTATAAAATTAACAGTCTTGGGAACTCTAAATGGCACATTCATATTAAGTAAACTCAGCATTTGTTATTTTATAAGTCCCCTACATAATAAATGATTCCTTCTATACTGGGATTTATGCAATATGATTAGCTCACAGACACTCATGAAGAAATCACATAAGGCAGGATGAGGTTAAAAATGTCGTTATGCTATGAAAAGACTGCCTCCTACATACCTCCCTGCCGAATGCCTAATTTATTGATTTTGCTAAAATATAAATATTATTGAATTATGGTAGTGACTTTGAGTACTCCCTAACACTTATTATAGGGCTTCTCTGGCATAAAACAGTTTCTATTAGCAACCATGGACAGAAGAATCCTAGGATTATAAAAACTAAATGTTTGGGTTTTCTCATAAATTACTAGGGGATCCAACCCAAGTGGCCTCAAATTATATTCTTAGAACAATAATTCAGATACTGAAATCTCTGCATCTTTTTTTCTTTTTATTTTCTTTTTTTTTATTATAACGATGTGGGGTACAATTCAGGGTTAGGTAAATAAACGTTGATTATGCAGGTACCCTTGTTGATGAGGTGTGCCCCTCCCTCCCCAATCTCTGCATTTAACTGCACATTTCCTAGGACAAACTCAAAGCACAAAGTTGCTAAGCAACTACTGATGAAAGTAGCTACCAAAGTAAGACTTTAAAAGTTAGACAGATCATTTCTGAAGTTATTTCTACATTTTAAGAAAATACCTGTAACAATACTCATAGACAAATTTAAAATATACCTAGTGAGTGATTAGATATCCACACTGGGCACTAGGAAGAAAAAGTGACTACAAAGATTACCTACCATTTTGGCCTTTGGAATTGTCTGTTTTTCTCTTAGCAACATGTTTCTGGGATCTTTTTCCTTTGGAATTTTCCATGTATTTCTTCTGACATTCCTCAGCAGATCGAGAACCTACGGCCATAGCTACATGTGACCAGAAACCAGGTTTGTGTTTTGGAAGAGATGCAAAAGCACTATGGAAGATAAAAACCAGTTAAAAAACAAGAAATTCAAACTAATGAAAATAACCTCCTGAAAGTATACTACTCAATAAGATTCACAGGGCTAAAGGAATTTTACCAAAATCATTTTATTTATTTATTTTGAGTTGGAGTCTCACTCTGTCACCCAGGCTGGAATTCAGTGGCATGTCTGCCTCAGCTTTCCAAGTAGCTGGAAGTACAAGTGGGCACCACGACATCCAGTTAATTTTTTTGATTTACTGTAGAGACAAGGTCTCGCCATGTCACCCAGGCTGGTCTTGAATCCGTGGGCTCAGGCAATCCTCTCGCGTCTGCCTCCCAAAGTGCTAGGATTACAAACCTGAAAAATCACCCTCAGTCTTTCGGCATTTTTTTTTCCTGGTCCAACTAACCAACTAATCACTGATTTGGTCTTTTAAGGGATTCTGGCATGACTATTTTTTTTGACTGTTCTTAATTCTTACTGGTGCAAAGCATTATTGGAAGATAAGTGCTTAGTTCTTTTTTTTTTTTTGAGTTGGAGTCTCACTCTGTCAGCCAGACTGGAGTGCAGTGGCCGCTCCCGGCCACCGCAGCCTCGACCTGCTGGGCTCCGGCGATCCTTCCGCCTCAGCCTTCCGAGTAGCCGGAATTACAGGCGCGCGCTACCACGCCCGGCTGATTTTTTGATTTATTGTAGAGATGAGGTCTCGCTGCCCAGGCGGGTCTCGAACCCGCGGGCTCAGGCAATCCTCTCACTTCAGCCTCCCAAAGGCGCGGGATTACAGGCTGAGCCACCGAGCCCGGCTAGTGCTTAGTTCTTATATATTCCAGGGTTATATAAACTTGATTAAAAAGCGCTATGCTTACTTTCATTCTATTATAATTTATAGAACTCAGTATTTTTAGACAAAATGCTCTTAATGGAAATGAAAACTGAAATAGAAAAAACTAAAATATAAGATAGTCCTAGGCTGGGCGTGGTGGCTTACACCTATAATCCCAGAACTTTGGGAGGCTGAGGCGAGAGGACTGCTTGAGCCCAAACGTTCCAGAACAGACTAGGCAACATAGTGAGACCTCATCTCTACCAAAAAAAAAATTAAAAATTACCCAGGCACGGTGGTGTGTGATTGTAGTCCTAGCTACTGAGAAGATCGAGGCAGAAGGATTGCCTGAGCCTAGGAAGTTGAGGCTACAGTGAGCCATGATCATCCCACTGCACTCCAGCCTGGGTGAGAGTGACATCCTGATTCAAAAAAATAATAAGAGAGTTCCCAAGTTAACATGTAAATTAGATTCTAAGCATCATTTGTAAATAATTGTTTAGAGTCTGGTATATTTGATATATATTGTGGTTAGGCTGACAGTCCAACCAGAAAACATCTATTTACCTCACCAATTAGCCTAACAATGGTAGTGTTATTTCAAATATTTGACTTTTTTTTTTAAACAGAAGTCTCACTCTGTCACCCAGGCTGGAGTGCAGTGGTACTCTCACAGTCATCGCAGCCTCAACCTGTTAAGCTCAGGAGATCCTTCTGCCTCAGCCTTCCAAGTAGCTGGAACTACAGGTGCGCACACCATGACTGGCTAACTTTTTGATTTACTGTAGAGACAATGTCTCACCAAGTTGCCCAGTCTTGTCTTGAACTCCTGGGCTCAGGAAATCCTCGTGCCTCAGCCTCCCAAAGTGCTGGGATTACAGGTATGAGTCACTGCACCTGGCTTCAAATCTTTAATACTATTTCTCTGACAAAATATATTTTTCTTTCAACTCAGATTCCAATGAGTTTCATTTTTCTTTCAACTCAGATTCCAGTAGGTTTCACGCAGTGGTGTGCTAAAAAATGTTTAATCAGTTCTTGGGGTTAAAAAGCCCTGATTTGTAGTGTTTGCCAATTTCTGTATGATAGATACTCCCATTGTGATTGATTTCAAGCTACCAACATGTCACTAAATGTGGAGCTGATAAGAAACGTATGATAGGTACATGATTTTAAAGTATTTCTGCCATATAGATACAATACAGGTAAAGAACCTCAAGGGCACGAATGATAAAATATAAATAGGAAGTGATGAATTTTGAGCATTACCTTTGTTTTTATCATAATTATAAGTGTATATAATTTTTCATCACTGTTTAACAGGTGATTTATAAAGTTACCAAAAATTTAATAATCAGCTCTTGTGAACAGCTACCAGTTGATTATATCATGCCTCTCCATGCAGAAAAGGAAAACAAATCGATATGGGCACTAGAAACTTGTAATGTTCTCTTTTGCATAATTTTTCACTACACAGGTATTCTAAGGTAGAGAACTGGAAGGATTTGGGGGTCATAACCTTCTCTATTTGTGTTGTGTCACTAATTTCCAAGTCTAGGACTGTCTAAAAGGACTATTTTTCATAAATTATAAATACTTAATAAGAAATTGGTAATTAACATATCTCCACTAGATTATCTCAGATAATTTATTTTATTTTTGATTCAGGATCTCACTGTTGCCCAGGCTGGAATGCAGTGGTATGACCATGGTTCACTACAGCTTTGACTTCCTGGGCTCAGGAGATCCTTCCACCTCAACCTTCTGAGTATCTGAGACCGCATGCATGTGTCAGCATGACCAGCTAACTTTTTGATTTGTTGTAGAAATGAAGTCTCACTATGTTGCCCAGGCTGGTCTTGATTTGGCCTCAAGCAATCCTTCTGCCTCAGCCTCCCAAAGTGCTGGGATTATAGGTGTGAGCCACTGTGCTTGGCCTGACTAATTGGACTTTTTAAAAAAAATCAATGACCAAGAGTTTAAATCTAGTTGATGGAAACACGTACATTTCCAGAAATATGTCAGGCAAAGTGGGCATGCAGGAGAAAATAAGTTTGGTTTTTAACATATTAAGTCTGACCCACAGGTGAGCTTTATACAGTATTGTCCAGTAGGCAAAGGGAAATACAAATCTAAAGACACGAATTCAGGGCCAGAGATACAGATTTGAGAGTCACTGAACAAAAGGAAACAGAATTGTGAGAGACAAAAGATCACTGAAGGGGATACTATAGCAAGAAAGCAGCCACGAACAAGAACCCTGGGGAACAGAAGGAAGATTACTTTGTCTGCTTGAAAATAAAACAGAGAAGGAACATTTATGAAATTGAAAAAGGAAGAGTACATTTTCACAGAGATGCCCTAGGAAGGATGTTTCAAACAGATTTGAAATGAATCTCACATTTTCTAAGGTCAGAGTAGGGGTACACAAGGCAGTGGAACACTAAATGTGGTATGTTCCTGTGTTGTCCTTTTCTCCTTTATCAATCACATCTTCCTTTCTTTCTATTAGATCATTTTCATCAGCATACAAGCATTTCATCAGCATTCCAGACCACACTCTGGCACCTGCCACCTTACCAACAAATAAGCAAGTAAGTAACCAAACATCTTCCCTTATCTTTGCGCTCTCTTCTATTACCTCTGTATTTTCTTTTCTTTTTGAGTTGGGGTCCCACTCTGTCACCCAGGCTGGAGTACAGTGACACGATCATGGCTCACTGCAGCTTCAACCTCTTGGGCTCAGGCGATCCTTCTGCCTTAGCCTCCTGAGTAGCTGAGACTAGAGGCACATGCCACCAGGACCAACTAATTTTTTTTTGGTAGAGATATGGTCTTGCTCTGTTGCCCTGGCTGGTCTCAAACTCCTGGGGTCAAGCTGTCCTCCCACCCTTGCCTCTAAAGTGTTAGGATTACAGGCATGAGCCGCTGTGCCTGGCCTACCTCTCTGTATTTTTCTATTTCCCATCATTGCCAAAGTTCTTGTATTGTCCACTTGGGTTGTCTTTATCTTATTACCTCTCATTCATTTTTCATCATTCAACTTCCAATTCTACCAGGCTACTGAAACTTAAGTCTATGCAGCCATATTAGATTCTTGTCATACTTGATTTATCAGCAGCAGCAGGCACAACAAATCATTCCCACACTTGAAAAATTCACTGTTGGCCTCTGAAATATGATTTTGTCTTGGTTTTCTTCCCTACTTCATGGCCCACATCTCTCTCTCCTTTAAATACTTTACTCAGAGCTCAGGATTATGGCTTCATTTCTCTACGCATCATCTTTTTATGTGTTCTCATCATTTAAATCTATTGGATTTGAAAAAAAAATCTACTGGATTTGAATACCATCTTTATGCTTACTGAAGTTGTATCGCAGCCCAGACCTCTCCTGAACTCTACACTGTATTTCCACCTGCCTCTTAACAGACAATCCAAATAGAACATGTCTAGAAAGAAACTTAACTCCCAATCTCAACCTATTTCTTTCTCAAATATTCCCCAGTGTATCAGAAAAGTCAATCTAGCAAGTGCCACATAACTGATAGAATCTATATTTGATATTGTCCAAATATGGCTAGATTTAATCCAATTTCCTCTCTATTTACAGCTCCTATATCAGTGTTGAACATGACGAACTACTCCAACAACCCTATGATTATTGCCTTGTCTACTTCCCCAAAGGAATCTTCTCAACTGTCATGCTAGCATTGAGTGTCTTCTTATCACACTTAAAAAAAAAAAATAAAAAACCCAAACGAATCTCCTAACCACGACCTAGAAGGTTTTGTAACTTATGGTCATGGCCTATTTCTCTGCTCTCATCTCAAGTGATTCCCCTACAACTCGTTATGCTTTAACAATGGTAGTCTTATTTTAGCTCCTCCCATATAAATTTTTTTTAGCCTTAGGACTTTTGTTTAGGTTTTTCCCTGTTCCTGGAATGCTGTTTCTCTAATTTTTTATATGGCAAACACCATGTTATTCTTTGATCTCCATTTAAGCGTCATCAACCAAGAGAGGACTTTACTGACCACAGTATCTATAGTTCTTCATATCAGTTTCATCTGTTTCCTTCATAGAATAGATCACAATTTAAATATTTTTATTTATTGGCTTATTTTTATATTGTCTGTCTTTCCTACTAATCTACTCCTTGAGAAAAAGGATTTTGTCTATTTTATTTCTGTATCTCCAAACATTCCAAACTGATTGGCATATAAATAAATAAATGAATGAATGAATAAATAAATAAATAACTGAACTTTATTTCTATTTCCTTCCCTATAAACGAAGGGGCAAAGACTATATTAAACAATCTACAAGTCTGAATTCAACTTTAAGGTTTTTTTCTTACTTGGTTTTTTTTGAGACAGGATCTCGCTCTGTCACCCAGGCTGCAGGGTAGTGGTGCAAGCATAGATCACTGCAGCCTTGAACTCCTGGGCTCAAGGGATCTTTCTGCCTCAGTCACCCAAGTAGCCAGGACTACAGGAGTGTGCCCTTTTGGCTGGTAATTTTTTTTCTTTGTAGAGATGGGGTCTCACTAAGTTGCCAAAGATGGTCTCAAACTCCTGTGCTCAAACAATCCTCCTGCCTCGGCCTCCCAAAGTGCCAGGATTATAGGCATGAGCTACCATGTCTGGAATATCTTTAAGGTTGTATAAGTAAATTTATTTATAAAATATTTCTTAAAATGTGAAGACAAGTGAGAGAGCAGCCTTTAGCTACCGTGAAATAGTAAGTGGGAATTTTTTGAGTCAGAGTTTCATTCTGTTGCCCAAGCTGAAGTGCACTGGCATGATCATGGCTCACCATAGCCTCCAACTCCCGGGCTCAAGGGATGCTGCTGGGTCAGCATCCCGAGTACCTGAGACTACAGACTAATTCTGCCTGGCTAATTTTTTTTTTTTCTTTTCTTTTTTGAGTTGGAGTCTCACTCTGTCACCCAGACTGGAGTGTAGTGGCCCCTCCCGGCCACCACAGCCTCGACCTGCTGGGCTTCGAAGATCCCTCCGCCTCAGCCTTCCAAGTAGCTGGAACTACAGGCACGCGCTACCACGCCCGGTTAATTTTTTGGTTTATTGTAGAGATGAGGTCTTGCCAAGTTGCCCAGCCGGGTCTCGAACCCATGGGCTCAGGCAATTCACTCACCTCGGCCTCCCAAGGCGCGGGATTACAGGCTGAGCCATCGAGTTTGGCTTAATTTTTTAAATGTTTATTTTGTAGACAAGGTCTTGGTCTCACTATGTTGCCCAAGACAGTTTTGAACTCCTGGGTTCAAGCAATCCTCCCACTTCAGTCTCTCAAAGTGCTGGGGTTATAGTTGTGAGCCACTGCACCTAGCCTAAATGGGAATTTTTAAAGTCACTTTTATTTTCCTTATATGTCAGCTTTAGAGATGGCCACAAAGTACTGCTAGAAATTATCTGTATTTCCCCTCCATTCCCTGTACAAATTGTAATTTCTCCCATTTTGGGGGGGGTGTCATCTTCCAGGTTAATTGTTAGAAGTCATTAAGTCAGCTCATTCTTGTTTTTTTTTATGTTTTCAATTGTTTTGTGGCCACTCTAGATATTTCAGAGTCTAATCTAACTACTTACCAATGAAGTCTCTGTAATTCCTTCTCATTCCATTCCTCATCTTCAATTAAGCCAGGTAAACATTCTACGGCATGCCCGTTAATTTTATTAGATCCTATCGCCTCTGTAATTGGAAACTCATTACTAACACTAGATTTCTGAAGAGTTTCTTTAGCAGAAGATTTAGCTTTCTTTTGTTTGATGTAAAATTCATTTTCACTTTCTTCAGTTTCAGAGTCAGGAGTCACTGGGATATTCCTTGTATTGTTTCTTGTGCTTTTTCTCAGGAGAACAACTGATTCTTTGGTATTTCTTGCTCTTGTTTTCTTAACTGCAGCTTTCCTTTTAATTTCCTTTTCTGTTTCACTGTCTTCACTTGTCAAATCTGATGAGGACTGATGTTTATGAAATGACATAGCTACTTGATTTTCGATTTTCTTCAATTTTGGTGACAATCTGGTATTTTTCTTACAGTCAGAGGCAACCATTTGTTCCTTTTTAGGGCTAAGTATTTTTATTTTGTGGTTGAAAGTGAGTATATCACGTTCACTGCAATCTTCCTTGTTTTTACTTTTGTTACTTACACTATACTCAAATGTATTTTCCAAAGTCCTTGTGGACTTACTGGTGGGAATTTCTTTTTGATGCTCTGGCGCTACAAAATCTGTTACTGTTTTAACGGTGTCAGAGGACAAATTATACTTCATGCATTTTTGCTCTATCACTTTTCTAGATTTAAGTGGCGTTTCTAAAACACAAACTTCTTTGCAATTTATAGTCATGTGTTTTCTTTCTTCATCTGAGAAAAAATGTTCCCTTGAGGTTAGAATATCAATGGATACATCCGATTCTTCTGTTCTCTCTTTAATTTCATAAGACAAAACCAAAGACCAAAATCTTCAATTAGCTATACACAAATTTAAGTATAGAACAAATATTTTCACAAATAAAATATACTATTGCTTTTCACAAGCATCACTGTACTCCCCACTGTCATACTAATCTTCCTGAAGTATAGGTCTATTTACACCACTGCCCTTTCGACTGTAAACATATACTATTGTTTATACAAACCTGTAAATGACTTCGCAGTCTTCTGGTATGCATATAAGATATTCCGCCTGGTCTTTGATATAGTGCCAATCTCTTACTGTTCTAAAATCTGAACCATATTCTGTGACCATTATACCACTGTTATTTCTCAAATTTTCTTGGTTCTCAATTTTCATTAATGCTGTTCATTCTACTTGGAAAATTTCCTTTACTCATCTACAAGCCAAATCACTACATGCTTGAAAAGTATTCTCCAGCCCACCGAGTCTACAGACTTTGTATTGATTCCCTCAACTGCATGAAAGCTCTTCTTCCTTTAAGTTTCCAGAATACTTTTATTTTTTTGAGTTGGAGTCTCACTCTGTTGTACAGGCTGGAGTGCAGTGGCACTCTCACAGTCACCACAGCCTCAACTTCCTGGGCTCAAGAAATCTTTCCACCTCAGCCTTCCAAGTAGCTGGAACAGGCACATACCAATATGCCCCGCTAATTTTTTTATTTATTGTAGAGATGAGGTCTCACCAAGTTGCCCAGGTTGGTCTCGAACCCCTGGGCTCAGCAATCCTCTCACCTCAGCCTCCCAAAGTGCTGGGATTACAGGAGTGAGCTACTGCGCCTGGCCTACGTTTCCAGAATACTTTTAAATAATGCTATGTTTGACAATATGTCTTGCATTAATATTGGACACTTGTCTTATCTTTTAATTAGACTGGTAAAAATTATTAATAGTAATAATTTTTTTTTTAAGAGTCTCACTCTGTTGCCCAGGTTGGAGTGCAGTGGTATGCTCACGGCCACTGCAGCCTCGACCTGCTGGGGCTCAGGTGATCCTTCTGCCTCAGCCTTCCAAGTAGCTGGAACTACAGGCACATGCCATCACACCCAATTAATTTTTTTGATTTATTGTAGAGATGAAGTCTTGCCAAGTTGCCTAGGCTGGTCTTGAACCCATAGGCTCAGGCAATTCCCTCACCTCTACCTCCCAAAGTGCTGAGATTATAAGGGTAAGAAGACATAACACCCAGTCAACTTTCAGGGATTTTTAAAAGTGGAGCAAAAAAGTACACAGCAGGTGCTGCAGCCCCAGGACTGCATAAAACTCAAGATGGTATAGTAATGACAAAAAGTAATGTACCCAATTTAGGGGAAATATGACTTCTGATAAAAGAGGAAGAACTGAGAAGAAACTGGAGCAGTGGTAAGTGAATTTTTGCAAGTTCAGGGGATGCAATACTCTATATATCTAAATTATTCCTTTCTCTGTACTAGAAAGAATAAGAAAGTTTCAAGGATAGGAGAAAGTTCAAATGTAGGCAAGGAATGGTTAGAGTTAAGGTATTTATATCCCATACGATGCCGTGTTTTTGGCAGAAGAAATCCTGAGCTCTTTTCGAATTTTGTAAGTTTTGTAAAGCTTCAGTTACAAGGTCAAGGAAAAATTGGTAGAAATGTATACAACAGATTTTAGTAACTTTTACTCATCTATATTATAATGAACGGGTTGTAAGTTAAATGTTCATACTTTTTGGGGATACTTTATACACGTGAGGCAGATTACAGTATTGAAAAATGACACAAAACAGTTCAGCCATCTACCCATATAGCAATGATCATTCAAGAAAACATGCCATTTCCTCCAAGAAAAAAATTTGGTTTTGTCTATTAGGAGGAATGAAAATTTAGTACAGGCTGGGCTCAGTGGCTCAGCCTGTAATCCCAGAACTTTGTTCAAGACCCACCTGGGCAACTTGGCGAGAACTCATCTCTACAATAAATAAAAAATTAGCCGGGCATGGTAGCGCGCGCCTGTAGTTCCAGCTACTTGGAAGGCTGAGGCGGAAGGATAGCCGGAGCCCAGCAGGTTGAGGCTGCGGTGGCCGGGAGCGGCCACTGCACTTCCATCTGAGTGACAGAGTGAGACTCCAACTCAAAAAAAAAAGAAAATTTAGTACAAACATATATGCATATTTGCTATAAATTCGGAGTAGATTGGTAGTCTAAATATTTTGGGTCTAGGAAATTGAGAAATCATCTTTCATTGATATGTTTATCAGTGCAATTTTTGGTATTCTGATTAAACATTGCTACTTATGAAGTAAGCTGAATGCTGACCATGAAGAGTCTGCATTGTAGTTACTTCTCATTTAGTAGTGAAAAAACAGGAATTTTATGGCAATATAAGTCAAAGAACATAATACTACACACATTACAGACGATGTAGAGCTTATGTAAGAATTTATCACTATATCAACAGAGAAGTAAAGACCAACATACCCAAATTATCACAATCAAGGTTATAAGTGATGTTGACTTTTTGGAGGACATCTGTTGGGTTTTTTCTTACATCATTTTTCACTGATTTTCGTGTGTTAGGGACACAGCTTTCAGTTTTCTGTTTTTGTCTGGCTTTTTCCCTGTTATTTTCACCAGCCCTAAAATCAATTGTATTATTTTTCTTTTAACATTGGTTCTCAAACAGCAAAACAAAACAAACAAAACACCAAGCAAATAAATAAAATCCCCTCAGGTAAAGTTCTTTTTTCCATCAGCAAAGAGCACCTTTAATCTTACAATGTTAATCCTTCATGGCTTCTACCCCCATGCCACAAAGAAGTCAAGTGTAATGTCAATGGACTCAGACATAATCTCATAACTACTTCCCATTCTCCATATAATTCCTACTTAAACTGATTATTAGAAAACTAATCCTAGTGCTTTGGGAGGATCCTTTGAGGCTAGGAGTGCAAGACTGCAGTGAGCTATGATCATGCCACTCTACTCCAGCCTGGCTGAGACCCTGACTTTAAAAAAAAAAAAAAGAAAAGAAAAACTGTAAACTACAGAACAGTTGCCAGTTGCCTGTTTCTGTAAACAAAGTTTATTAAAAGACAGCCATAGCCAGGTGTGGTGGCTCATGCCTGCAATTCCAGCACTATGGGAGGCGGAGCTGAGAGGATCGCCAAAGCCCATAGGTTTGAGACCAGCCTGGGCAACTGGGCAACACCCCTTCTCTACAATAAATCGAAAAATTAGCCAGGCATGGTGGCATGCGCCTGTAGTTCCAGCTACTTGGAAGGCTGAGGTGGAAGGATCGCCTGAGCCCAGCAGGTAGAGGCTGTGGTGGCTGTGAGTGTGTCACCACACTCCAGCCTGGGTGACAGAGTGAGACTCTGACTCAAAAAAAAAAAAAAGAGAAAGCCATGTTCATTCATGTATATACTATCTATGGTTGTCTTTCTGCTCCAAAGGCATAGCTGACTAGTTACAATACAGGCAAAATGTCTGAAAGAATACTATCTGGCCCTTTATAGAAAAAAATGCCAGCCCTGTTATAAGTTACTATACTGTACTGTGATTAACTTTAAAGTCCGTATCCCCTGTGAGTTCATTAAAGGCAAAAATTAAATTATTCTTTATTGTCCCAGTATCAACTATACAGTGTCTCTTAAGTAGCTGACACTCTAAGAAGATGAATGAAAAAAAAAAACAAGAACTTTGCAGTAGTATTTAATAGCTATATGCCTTTTGAAGGGTAGGTGAGGACAAATCTTTGAAATATATCAAAAGTTTTATGTCCTTTTTATGTTTACTAAATATGACAGAAATTCTAGTAAAATGCTATTGCTTTTGGAACTCTTCAAAGATAAAAGTGAGCTTCAAAATATCATTTGACCACTTGTATACCTAATCCTGAATTATACCCCAAATCTTTAAAGTAAATTAAAAGAAGCTAATCACATTTCCAAAAAAAAGCCAAAAAACTGAATCCACTTTACATTGGTTACATGAGTATATTGGTTACATTTGTAAAAAGCTCATTACATGTCATACCTAAAATGGCTGCATCTTACTAAATGTAAATTATATCTCAACAAAGTTGACTTTTAAAAATGTAAAACGACATTTTACCTTAAATGCTCTAGAAAATTATCAATGTGTTCTTTCCAATTTCTTGGAAATCCAAACATAAATTTCCTTATGACATAATTTGGATATCCTATTTAAGGATAAACAAAAAAATATTTAAAAGCTGAAAATTTTCAAGAGAGGTCATTTACATTAAATCACTCAGTAGATATACACTTACTGCTTTAATATGTGCCAGGCACTGTTATAGATACTCAGGATTCAGCAGTTAAAGCAGACAGAAATCCCTGTTCTAACAGAATCTGCTTTCTAGTGTGAAAGGAAAAGCTTATCAAAAAAATAAAATATAATGTTTGTTAGATGGTTAGGCAGGGAAGGTGAATATGAATATTAGTATGTTCATAGGAGAGTAGAGGGTTGGACAGCAATTAATAAAAATAGGGAAGTCCTCATGGAAATAGAGACATTTGAACAAAACCCTGAAGAACCTAAGGCATTAAGTCATGTGGTAATAAGGGTTAAAATGAAGCAAGAGTATGTCTGGCCTGTTTTAAACAACAAATAGACTGGTGTAGTAGAGGTGGCATGAGGAAGGGTCAGTACTAGGAGTCTACTCAGATAGGTAACAGAGGTGGTAGGGAGCATGGGAGATTATAATAAAGTCTTGGAGTTATTTTATGGACCTAGCTGTTTACTTTGGGGAAGATGAGAACTACTGAAAGATTCCAAGCAGAGAGGCTACAGGATGTGACTAACTGTAACAGGACTATATAAGCTGCTATTTTGAGCTGTGGAAGAGCAAGTAGAGAAAGAATGAGACCAGTTAGGAGGCCACCGTAATGATCTAGACAAATAATGAGGGAAATCTAGATCTTGGAAATCTATCAATAGGATATATGACCACTAGATGTGGGCATGGGAGAAATTGAGGGTTTAAGGATGCATCCAAGAATTCTGGCTAGCCATTGGACACATGAAAAGATGGGGAAGACTACAGGCCAAGCAAATTTAAGTAAGAAATTTAGACATACTAGGTGTGAAATGCCTCTAGACATCCTACAGGAGATGTTAAATAAGCGGCTGGAAAATGGGTTGGGTACTCAGGGTATATCTTTGTTTCAGATATAAAATTAGCATGTCATATTTAAAGACTAAAAGGAATCAACTCAGTACTGAGTGTATCTAAAGGCAAAGGAAAAATAGAGAGATACACAAAGAAACTAAGAAGGAACAGGCAGTGAGGTAGCATAAAAATTGGAATATGGTATTTGAGAAGTCAAATACAAATTATTTCAAGGAGATAGGTGTAATTAATTCAGTTAAATGTATGCTAGGGTTGGGTAAAGAGGCTCAGCCTGTAATTCCAGCACTTTGGGAGGCTGAGGTGAGAGGATTGCTGGAGCCCGAGGGTTGGAGACCAGCCTGGACAACTTGGTGAGACCTCGTCTCTAAAATAAATCACAAAATAGCCAGGCATGGTGGCATACGCCTGTAATTCCAGCTACTTGGAAGGTTGAGGCAAAAGGATCGGCTAAGCCCAGCAGGTCGAGGCTGCAGTGGCTGTGAGCGTGCCACTGGACTCTAGCCTGGGCGTCAAGAGTGAGACTCCAACTCAAATAAAAACAAACATGTAAGCCGGGTTTGGTGGCTCAGCCTGTAATCCCGCGACTTTGGGAGGCTGAGGTGAGTGGATTGCCTGAACC